TGAGAAACAATGGCTTTGAAATAACAGAACTCAATTCTTTGCCTATTTGTGCCGCGCTTCACTTATAAATGATCGAAATAAATTGATATATGCATCCAAATTGCTACTATTTATATCAAAGAGATATGAAAATAAGATATATGAATCAACCAATATCAATATGCCAGAAACAGTGTCCATATAATTGTCAAAAACAGTCAAAACAAAAAAGAAAGTCCATATATAAACTTCTTCAAAAGTTCACTGTAGGATAGTATATCCCGTGCCTCTTAATTGATTTTTTTGTGTGAAAAAAACTTTCATTTGTGTGCTCTCCCACCAGTTGTGCTCCCCATCCCATCTATACTCTGACCCATTTAAAGGGACACAAGCATTATATGACCTTACTTAACGGTTTGGTCATAGACTTAAGGTGAGAGCACAACTGGTGGGGAAGCACACAAATGAAAGTTTTTTTCAGTCAAAAAAATCAATTAAGAGGCACGGGATATCCTATTCTACAGTGAACTTTGCACGTTTGAAGTTTATATATGGACCTTTTTTTTTTTTTTTTTTTTTTTTACTGTTTTTGACAATTACATTGACACTGTTTCTGGCATATTTATATTGGTTGATCCACTTATATTATTTCATATCTCTTTGATATAAATAGTAGCAATTTGTATGCATATATCATGTATTTTGAGCATTTATAAGTGAAGCGCACACTTTGGTAAATAGTATTGGTTTGGCACACTAGTATGAGCATGTGTTAGGTGCAGGCAATTCACAATCAACACTAAGTAGTAATCATCACTTACATAGCAGCTCACAAGCTTCCATTTTTCAATCAATTCTTTAAGGACCCGTGGGTGTATGCCATGCTGTCCAGGTGTTTTATTCACCTTTATACTGTCTAAATATTTCTGAATCATATCAATTGTGAGCCAATGTGGATCATCTGTGGCTGTGTCAATACCATGCCCATTATGGACAAGAGCTCCCCATGCTCCTCTGTATACACAGAGCTGAAGAAGGTATTTAATATATTTTGCCTTTTCTTTGTCCCCAGTCACCCACTCTAGATTATTTTGTAAAGGGCCTACATGCTTGGACCTGACCTTTTTACTATTAATATATTTGAAGAATTTTTGGGGGTTTGTCCTGCTATCTTTTGCAGTCTGTCATTCATTTTTAATTTGAAGTTAGGCTGAGGTTAGGGTTATTGTAATTGCTTGGTAATTGTTTTTTTTTTAATATTTGCATTGTAGTGTAAGTATTAACTCTCACATGAGAGATTCTCTTTAAAATAAAAAAAAAATGGTTGTAACCTGCTGTAGTTATTAAGGGCTACTTGCCAGGAGGCGTGGAAAATTTATTATAAAGGTCAGAATATGAGAGGACGATTCTTCAGCTTTCCTCTCATTTGAATTGGCCATAAAAGCTTCAAGGTTTTGCACAGCTGACTAACCTTGGCTGAAATCCCAGGGAAAATATGAACGCTGGTTAACATTATCAAGGTTGGTTCATAGTCTGCTGATGAGTGTGGATGCACCAAATACACTTGCCATTATGTCCATACCACATGAATGACATGGACTGACACCCAAGTACTTCTAGCTAAGGCATTTGAATTTTTTTTCTCCGCTAGGGTCTTGGTTAGTGGCCACCCAGACTATTCTACTGTATCTGTATAGTGTTTGTGTGTTCTGCTTGTGTTTGCACACATTTTATATTCCAAAAAAACACTGGTAGATTGATTGACTTTCAACCTAAGATGGCTGTATTGCCTGTGCGATTTTGTATCAAAACAGCTGAGGTGTGAGTATATTAGTGGCCATACTCATTTTGATAAATAATCAACATTTTTTCCAACTCAAGCTCTTCTGACAGGAACAATTGATCTATAATCGACAATCCATTCAATCAATATGCCACAAAAGGAAGTGATTATTGATATATAGTTAAGATTGGACCAATAGTTAAAGCACTATTAAACCCAAAATCAAGCATTTATTATATTGCAGCTTACCAGTTCTTACAATGTGATGGCTGGATTTGTTTTCTTTTTAGGTTTTCTTTCTTCTGCTTTCATCTGGAGATCATGCCAGTAGGTCTGCTGTTTTTCAAAAGAATAAGTTTTCCAGCAGAATGTACCAGTTACAGAGATGGGACAAACCATTTAACAGCAGCAGGGGTGCTTACAATGATCAGCTTTTGTAAAACCTTTATCCCAAAAAAGATAACAAAATCCCCCCAAAAAGCAGTTTGCTACATGTGCTTATGAAGTGTGAGCTGGAGTTTGGCTTCAATTTATTTGTGTATTCAAATCTGCCAGTAAATCTAACAATACCCTCTCCCCAGAATGACAATGCAGCAGGCCAAAGGTACCCCCTGTGCTCCTTCATCCAGAGTGGGGGCACTCTAATGTATGAGGTGTGTTGCTGGCCAGATCACCAAGTGAAAACAGAGGGAAAAGAGCGAAAGAAAGGAAATCGAATGCAGCCACCACATCTAAGGATTGGTAAACTGCAGTATATTTCATTTTTGGTTTTGGGTTTCACACTGCTTCAAGATATGATCATAATTTACAATCCTAAATTATCATTCACATCTCTATTTCCATCAGGTAAAATCATAATCTGATTAAAATACAATAGTAATAATGAACAAAGTATCTTGTTGCCAGTTGATGCAAAACAATCAATACTTTTTCGCCCTGTTTGATCATTTCAAGTGGTTGTCAAGGCTGAAGGTTATTTACCTTCATGCATTTTATGCATGAAGGTAAAAAACCTTCTCTGTGCAGCATCCCCCCAGTACTCACCTAAGCCCCCTCTTGATCCAGCAATGTGCACTGGAGCCTTGGTTATCCAGGGTCTCCTTCTTCTCACTGACTAAGACAGCAGTGGGAGCCTTTGGCAGAGCAGTGGCTGGGGAGTGTGCATGCTTGGGTGCCCCCATAGCAAGCTGCTTGCTGTGGAAGCACCCAACAGAAGGGAGGAGCCAGGAGCGCCGATAGGGAACCCGAGAAGAGAAGGATCTGGCTGCTCTTTGCAAAACCACTGCACACAGCAGGTAAGTATAGACATATTTGTTTGTTTGTTTGTTTGTTTGTTTAAATTTAAGCCTTTAGATGCACTTTTAATTTAATCTAAAGTCTAAAATGATCAGAAGGGAAGTTATGGCTATTCGATTGTTTGCAGGCTTTAACATTTTAAGTCGCACATTGACTGGATAATAAAACCAAAGCATGTATGGCAACCATATGTTTCTTCAGGAGCAAAGACTGGTGTAAAATGTTCTCTGTAGTATTATTAGAAAATATCATAGCAAAATATAACTTTTTAAAATAAAAAGATCGATTTTATTTTTGTTCTATTTGTTCTATTCTACACTGACTATTTTTCCATGTCTATTCAGGTATAATCAACACTCATGCAGCTACCCTGCAGTCAGGTCTTAATATTCTGTTCACATGGACGTCTAATTACTAACCTGTTCAGATTGCTATTTGATATAAAATTCAGCACATGAATATTTAATAAATCATCTGGAGCACAAAATAACAATTGAGCTTTACCTTGTATCTTTCACCAGCAAGTTTTAAATGCAGGCTGCAAAGATCCCCAAAAATAATTAGCTCAGATCCAAAATGCATGAGATTTGTGCAGTAAAGTGACTGGGTAGACAGGGAAGCTCGACATTTGTACAATGTTATTTTCAGAAGTCACGAAATGAATCTCCCAAAAGGCTTTTTACATTTAAAATTAAGTCAACGCCATTAAACAATAAACAAGAGTTATACCCCCATTAGGATTTGCATTTCCCTGATTTTCTAGTCCTGGAATTGACTACACATTTTAAGCTGACTTGCTTTGACTGTATTTCACAACTAATTACAAAAAAGTGTGATATTATGTAGTACCCAGTTGTACTTAAAAATGCAATATAATTTTATTGTACCTAAATAAAAAGGGCCCGATCACTCTGAATATTCCTCAGTAGATTCTATTAGGAAAATCTAATGTAATTTAATTTTTAATTTGTCATTGTGTGCTACACTTCTTAATAATGAACTTTTCAGTGAAAGACATTAAATGTCATTAAATGTACCATATAATGAACATCAGCTTTCAATAAAGGTTCTCCTCTTGAAACTTATCCATTTTAAAAGTTCTGGGCATCCTGAAGAACAAGCTGAGGTTTTAGTAAATTAAAATCCTATACTGCAGTTGAGTGTTTTGAATGGTAATAAGAAAGGAAGCCTTGACTGGAGTGATGTTGGATAATTCTAATAAAGAATGATGCGCAAGTCATTTAAAGTGGGAAAGAATCTTCTTATAGTCACATAATTGAAAGGATTTTGGTGTCCTTATTCAATAATAGAACAGCATGTGGCCTACCAATCTCTGCAAAGGATAATCTTGTTACACCGAACCTGCAAAAACAGATAGGTGGAAATTAGAATTTAATTCCTCATTATTTTATGTGAGATATAAACCAGCATTATTCTCAGCTATGCTGATGATTTAAAAAAGACCTATGGGGTGGGAGTGGGGGTGGGGACCCTAAAATAGCAGAGACTGCACATGAGGCAACTCCAGGTGTCTGTAAACCACCTCTGCTCACCTGGGCATCTATAATGCAACTTCCAACCAAGCTTTCTAGTCACTGCCCCCCCCCCCCCCCAATATCCTTCCTATTGATTTGTAGGCAGCCCATGATGTTGTGGGGGCGTGTATCTGAGCACCACAAACCAAAAGCGCTATTTTTTAACCGCTTACCTGCAGGGCACTTATACCCCCTTCCTGCCCAGGCCAATTTCAGCGTTGTCACACTTTGAATGACAATTGCGCGGTCATGCAACACTGTACCCATATGAAATTTGTATCATTATTTTGTGACAGATAGAGCTTTATTTTGGTGGTATTTAATCACCTCTGGGTTTTTTATTTTTTCTTAAACAAACCAAAAACCACTGAAACTTTTGAAAAAAAAAAGTTTTTTCTTAGTTTTTGTTATAAAATTTTGTAAATAAGTGATTTTTCTCCTTCACTGATGTGTGCTAATGAGGCTGTAGTGATGGGCACTGATAAGATGCACTGATGGGCACTGATGAGGAGGCAGTGGTAGGTGGCACTGATGGGCATTGACAGGCATCACTGATGGGCACTGAAAGGCAGCACTGATAGGCGGCACTGATAGGCGGCACTGACTGGCCCTGTTAGGCGGCACTGACTGGCACTGACTGGCACTGACTGGCACTGATAGGGGGCACTGACTGGCACTGTTAGGTGGCACTGACTAACACTGATAGGCGGCACTGATAAGCGGCACTGATGCACACTGATAGGTGGCACTGACTGGCACTGATAGGCAGCACTGACTGGCACTGATTGGCACCACTGATAGGTGGCACTGATTGGCATTGATAGGTGGCACTGACTGGCACTGATGGGTGACACTGAAGGACAGCTCAGATGGGCATTGATATGTGGCATTGATGTGCACTGGTAGGCACTGATATGTGGCATTGATGTGGCACTGATGGGCACTGGCACGTGGCACTGTTCAGCACTGACAGCTGCCACTGATGGACACTGACAGGTGGCACTTCTGGGGCCACACTGATCATCAGGGCACACTGATCATCAGTGCCCTGATGATCATTGTACATGTCCCCTCCGCGGAATGCCGATTACCGGCTCTCCTCTCCTTTCGAGCTGTCAGCGTGACAGCTCGAGAGGAGAGAAATGCCGATAACCGGCATTTCCCTGTTTAAATGTGATCAGCTGTGATTGGACACAGCTGATCACATGACCGAGCTGACATCTTCGGCTCTTTCCGTGGATCGGTAATCCACTGTGTCTGAGGGACACAGAGCACCACCGATCGCCGCACTGCGCACTGTCCCGCACCCTGAGTCGCGCATGCACGGTGAGAATGGAAGGCCTATCAGAATGAGAGAACCACCTTGCGCCCGTCATTGGACTATATGGCGGGCGGGAGGTGGTTAAAATTTATTTTAATATTAGAGTGAACTCGTCAATGTCTCCATGCTTTATTTTGCTGAGAAATTATTTTGAAAAGATCCTCTAGAATTTCTTGCTGTGGCCGTCTTTAGTAAGGGCAGATGATTCAAGTAGCAATTACTTCATGGAATCCATCTGCTCTGGCATACAAACAGAAGGGTGTGCTTAGCTGAGGAAAAACCCTTCTAAATACAGTCATGGCCGAAATTGTTGGCACCCTTGATATTTCTCCAGGAAATCATGTATTTCTCACGAAACGTATTGCATTAACACATGTTTTGCTATACACATGTTTATTCCCTTTGTGTGTATTGGGACAAAACAAAAAAAGGGAGGAAAGAAAGCAAATTCGACATAATGTCACACAAACCTCAAACCTCCCAAAAATGGGCTGGACAAAAGTATTGGCACCCTTTCACAACTGCGGATAAATAAGAATGTTACAAGCATGTGATGCTCCTGTAAACTCACCTGGGGCAAGTAACAGGTGTGGGCAATATAGAAATCACACCTGAAAGCAGATAAAAAGGAGAGACGTTCACTTAACCTTTGCATTGTGTGTCTGTCTGTGCCACACTAAGCATGGACAACAGAAAGAGGAGACGAGAACTGTCTGAGGACCTGAGAACCAAAATTGTGGCAAAATATATCAACAATCTCAAGGTTACAAGTCCATCTCCAGAGAACTAGATTTGCCTTTGTCCACAGTGCGCAACATTATCAAGAAGTTTGCAACCCATGGCACTGTAGCTAATCTCCCTGGTCGTGGACGGATGAGGAAAATTGATGAAAGATTGCAACGCAGAATAGTCCGGATGGTGGATAAGCAGCCCCAAACATGTTCCAAAGACATTCAAGCTGTCCTGCAGGCTCAGGGAGCATCAGTGTCAGCGCGAACTATCCGTCGACATTTAAATGAAATGAAACGCTATGGCAGGAGACCCAGGAGGACCCCACTGCTGACACAGAGACATAAAAAAGCAAGACTACAGTTTGCCAAAATGTACTTGAGTAAGCCAAAAGCCTTCTGGGAAAACGTCTTGTGGACAGATGAGACCAAGATAGAGCTTTTCGGTAAAGCACATCATTCTACTGTTTACCGAAAACGGAATGAGGCCTACAAAGAACAAAACACAGTACCTACGGTAAAATATGGTGGAGGTTCAATGATGTTTTGGGGTTGTTTTGCTGCCTCTGGCACTGGGTGCCTTGACTGTGTGCAAGGCATCATGAAATCTGAGGATTACCAAAGGATTTTGGGTCGCACTGTAGGGCCCAGTGTCAGAAAGCTGGGTTTGCGTCCAAGATCCTGGGTCTTCCAGCAGGACAATGACCCCAAACATACGTCAAAAAGCACTCAGAAATGGATGGCAAAGAAGCGCTGGAGAGTTCTGAAGTGGCCAGCAATGAGCCCAGATCTAAATCCCATTGAACACCTGTGGAGAGATCTTAAAATTGCTGTTGGGAAAAGGTGTCCTTCCAATAAGAGAGACCTGGAGCTGTTTGCAAAGGAAGAGTGGTCCAAAATTCCGGGTGAGAGGTGTCAGAAGCTTATTGATGGTTATAGGAAGCGACTGATTTCAGTTATGTTTTCCAAAGGGTGTGCAACCAAATATTAAGTTAAGGGTGCCAATACTTTTGTCCAGCCCATTTTTGGGGTTTTGTGTGACATTATGTCATATTTGCTTTTCTGCCTCTGTTTTATATTTGTTCCAATACATACAAAGGGAATAAACATGTGTATAGCAAAACATGTGTTAATGCAATACCTTTTTTTGTGTGAAATACTTGATTTTCAGGAAAAAATATCAAGGGTGCCAACAATTTCGGCCATGACTGTACACCTTGGATGTATGACATCAGTTGCCTAGGTATGGAAACCAGGAAGTAACTAAAGAGATGTAACAAAAAAAAAAAACAGTTTAAGAGAAGCAAATATAATATACTTTCCTATCTATTTACTAATGCTAGCAGCATAAGGTTTCAAAACAGTCAATGTTCATTGAGAGTGTGAAGTTCCACTTTAAGTGGTCAGTAATGACATTGCAAATCATCCCAGGACTTTGGTTCTGACCAGTTCAACAATGGGGCATCAGAGACATTCAGTCACCTAGAAAAAAAATATACATATACATAAGTATACACAAGTATACTAATACTTATGTTAAGCGGCAATTCGGAAATGTAAACCCCTTACAGATTTATTAAAAAAAAAAAACTAAAATGGTTGGGTCAGTATTATTATAAACAAATCTTTTAGTTGCTTGTTAATGATCTGTATAAAATCCTCATTTTATAAATAAGAATGTATTACAGTGTGCACTTTTGACACCAAGGCTGCATTCACACTGTAGCATATCTTTTGTGCAATTTTTTGCGCATTTTCAAAACATGCAAATATATATAATTCTAATGGCACACCAAAGGTGGCAAGCTCACACATGGAAAACATGCAAAAAATACAGAAAAACAAAGACAAAGCTTGAAACTCAAAAAGGTACGTTTCCATGTTTGTCACTTTTAGGGCAGTTCATTGACAGGAATAGGCTGCCTTATGCATGTAGTGCAACATCTCACACAATACAAAACATGCATATGCTCAATGCCTAGCATTGCACATCATAGTATGACTTGGACCTAAGAAATCCCAGGACTACCTTAATGCTTTCTAACAGACTGTGTCAATTCACTAGTTAAGATTAGTTGTCTTTGGAAGGGGAGGTGTGTCCCTCCTTTGACTCTTTCTGGTTAATTTTTAGCACAGCTGCCTGAAACACAACCTTGAAAAGGACAGACCCTGTATATACCTCCACCTACTGACTGCAAGTTATACATATAAAATAGAAAAAATACTACATTTACATGATTAGGGGCTCATACATATTATGTGTGGTGAACCGGGGCGGACTGACCATTTGGAAATTTGGGCACTGCCCGTGGGCCCAGGGTCAGTAGGGGGCCCCATGAGATGCCCCTGGTACCTCTTTCATAGGCTTTTTTTGAGTTTGGGCAAGGACACAGGGGCTTCATGATCCCCTATTGCCCGGGGGCCCCATGAGTTGTCTGTCCGCCCCTGGTGGTGACCTGAGCTTTCTGCACCGAATAAACACAAGTCACCACTAGGGCACAGAGAAAACAATTGTTTGGCTTGCCTCACCAACCAAAACTTTTCAAACTAGGGAGTAGATAGAATGCTGCCAGAAATAAAACAGAAAGAAGAAGAGATTCTTCTAAAGCTACAGGAAGAAGAGACAAAGCTTCAGCAACTTCACACAGATAAAGAGGTAAGAGTATCAGCATTTCGGGTTAAAGCTTACACAAATCTTGAAGGTAAACCTAAGGGTTAGACAAGAAGACATTCACTCTACCCAAACTTTGAATCTAAAATTCAACTACATCCAGAAGCCATGTCCTTCCAAGTATATGTTACCTAAACTGTTTATGCCTACGGAAACGGTTAGTCTTGGCCCAGGCATTCGCAAGTGCAATAACCATGAGCTGTCTGTCTCCTCCAAAAATAACCATATGAATATGTGATTTATTGAAGTTCATTGATTTCTAGACATCCTTCATGGTTGTTTTTTATTACAGTCCAATCCTAGCTTGTGAATAGATGCTGTATTGCTGTAAAAACCTATCTTGCTGGAGAAGCACATAAGGCTGTAGAGGGACTTTTCTAAAGGAACTCAGAAAATGCACATCAGAGTGTTTGGACAGTGTTGCAAGAAAGTTATTAAAACCTTTTAATTGTACAAACAGCCATTTGTAACAAGCTTATGAAATGGCCTAAAATTGCCATAAAATAATGTTCAGGCACAGTGAGAATTCACAGATTTCCTGCAACACTGCGCTAAAGCTATTCCCCATGTTCGGCTAAGTTCACACTAACTTTGTTAGCAGGCGTTAGACAGGCATATGGGAAGCGTTTTTATTGCTCCTTAAACTCCTATGAAAATTCTACACATGGCAGCACACAGTGCTGTTCACACTGAAGCGTTAGCATCGCGTTACAGCAAACCTGATGCCTCATGTCGAGTCAGGAGGAGTTGAAGCCTCCCATTCAAGTCTGGTGACGCTCCTCAAACACCTGGCAGGCATTTGCAGGGCAGTTGCTAGGTGTTTGCGGAGCGTTAAAACCATTAAACTTCATTGTAGGAGTTTGTGGTGCAGTTTTAACACTTGGCAAATGCCTCAGAAATGCATATGGTGTTTGGGGAGTGATTGAGCAGCGTTAAAAACGCTTCCCAAATGCCTGTCTAACGCCTGTCAAATGCTATAGGGGCATTTAGCAAGAGTTAGAAATTAGTCAAGTGTGAACGAGCCCTTAGAGGATTAACCATGATGATTGTGATGAAAATCACAAGCTGTCTAAAAGTTACCCGAGTA